ATACAATGGATTCAATTTTTAATACCTTTTGGCACAAATTCCTTCTATACTAGAAAGATAACCAAGAAAATCCTCTATACATATAATATATTCTGGCAAAGCGTAATTTTCCAATGTAGGTGTTTAAATACCGTTAAAAGGTTGACTTTTTTCCTATTGGTAAAGAATGATGATTTAGAACTGCTTTTCTTTCCCTGCTTATCTTTCAGCTTATATGGAAGTATGTGTGCACATGTTTTTTTGTTTTTGTATGCGATTCGGATTAAATTGTCACTGTCGTTCTGTGTCTCACAATATTTCCCTGACAACTTGTGGCTAAAAGTATATGTGTGTGTTATAAAAATAGTAACAAATCTTCATAAAAAAGTCTATTTTTGTTTAGAGATAATACCAGGAAGTGACACAAATTATTTATGAAAATGTCAAAGGAAATTTGAAGGATAATCAATCAAAAAACGTTGCAATGGTAGTGGATTAGGAGAGGTTGATAGGAAAGTCAATGATACTGCCTAAGGTCTTATATATTGTATCATGTCAAAAATTTTATAAGTTGGAGATATGGTGGTGTGGGTCGCCATCACAGCCGATGGTCACTCTCAGCTTGTATTAATCGACCGTGGCATCAGAATAAATCGCAAAAATATTCTGGAGGGTGTATTAAAGCCTTGGGCAGGCAAACATTTTGGGCGCAGACTTTGGACATTCCAACGCGCCACCCAAGAATGGTTCCAGCGCACAATGGCCACCAAAATCTCCGGATACCAATCCATTGGACTATTGTGTCTGGAGTATTTTGGAAAGCAAGGTTGGCACTAAAAAATACCAAAGTGTCGATCACCTCTTCATCACCTTCACCGGGAATGGGCCAAAAAACCGCAGAGCAAGATACAGACAGCGTGTGACGGTTTCATTGGCCTTTTAAAGGTCATAATTCGTGCCAAAGGTGACAAATTCGAACAAATCTAAACTTATTCTAAAATTTGATGCTATTTCCGACATTTTTTGCTTTCATCCAAAACCATTAAAATAAAAAATTAAAATTATGGCGTGTGACTTTGTTGCAGTTTTTATACCCTACACCACAAGGTGGTCAGGGTATTACGTCTTTGTGCATTTGTTTGTAACAGGCAAAAGGAAACGAGATAGACCCATAGTTCCTTTTGATGATCTGCATAGAATCACTTTCTGAGTTGATTTATGCATGTCATTCCGTCCGTCCGTCTGTCCATGTATTCTTGTGAACAAAATACAGGTCGCATTCATTATCCGATTGAGATGAAATTTTCCAAACAACATTTGTTTGGCTCAAGGATGAGCCCTATTGAAATTGGAGATAATCGGTAAAAAATTAGATATAGCTCCCATATATATCTTCGTCCGATTTGCCTTCTATTGTGCACCAAATGTGTAATATCAGCCCGAATAGTATGGAATTTTGCACATACAACCGAATTAGGCCAAATTTGATCGAAATCGGTAATATGCACTCTGTAACAACAATATTTGGGGAAATATATCAAATGCAGCTTAGAAATACCTTTGCTAAATTTTATCGAGATCGGTTCAGATTTGGATATAGCTTCCATATATATATCTTTATCTGATTTCAAATTAATTTTGCATCAAGTGGGCAATACAAGTCCGAATTTAAAAGAAACAAATGCTTTGAATTTTAAATTATAATCATAGGGTGTATGATTGAATTCTCCCATAAAAACTTTTAATTGTTATGTGTAGCTCAACTAAATTAGTGTAGGGTATCATAAAATCGGCCCCGCCCGACTTTAGGACTTTCTTTACTGGTTATATCTGTAATCATAACAAATTTCTAGTTCTAACAAGTAACAAGCTTTAATTCCGGCCAGGCCGAACTTTCAACACCCTCTACCATTTTGAACGAATTTACAAAAACACCGAATGTAGCCGTAATTTTAGGGTCTATACGACGACGTGGACCTGCATAGACAACTTTTGTTAGAAGCCATTACAATATTCGATGAATAATGTCGCTTATGTCATCAATATACCGAATATAGGGAGATACCATTATACCAAAACGTGGACCTGCACCGATAATCTCCTGTCATAGGCTGTAGTACCAGTTACGAACTTCAAATACCAAATTTGAAAGATCTCCGGGGAATAATGTCGCTAAAATCATCAGAATACCAAATATCTAAAGTTGGCGTTATGTGAGGGCTATACTAAGTCGTGGACCTGCACAGACAATTTTCTGGCTTAGGCTGTAGTAACATTTACGAACTTTAAATACCAAATTTTAAAGATCTCCGGGGAATATTGTCGCTGAAATCATCAAAATATCGGTAGGTATCTTTATATGGGGGACTATACCAGAACGTAAACCTACATGGCCGATTTTCAATACTAAGAGTTCTGCAGACATGTATTTGAGTAAAATTGTATCAACCTACGACATTTCGTTCGGAAGTTAGAGTGATTTCCATAGTCGGAAAAATTTACAGACGGACAGACATCGCTAAATCGACATAAAATTCTATGTCTGATGTATATTTCAAGGTGTTACAAATAGAAGGACGAACTTAATATACCCTCCATACTATGGTTGAGGGTATAAAAAATGGAATATGCCGGACCATTTCTTCTTGTACCTCCTTTTGAATAGTTGCGAAAAGAGCATTCGATTCACCTCAAATTTCACACGTCCCAAAACATTTGAAAATACATCTCTTGTGTAAATGGTACATATAGATCAACTCCTTCTGGTACCTCCCCACAAATTTTGAACCATCGTGAAACTCATAAAACTCGAAATGAGCATCGGGTTATATTAAAACTCGGCACATTCTAATATTTCTATCAACACAAGATCAGATGCGAAGATGGAATATTTCTGACCAATTCTTCTGGTACCTGCCCTATAACGGGTCAAAAATTTGATTATTTATATCTCTCGGAAAATGCGAAATTACCCCCCGATTCTCTTAAAATTTCACAGGTCTCAATATTTGTAATATCAAAGTAATAATAATAATAATAATAATAATAATAATAATAATAATAATAATAATAATAATAATAATAATAATAATAATATAATAATACTAATAATAATAATAATAATAATAATAATAATAATAATAATAATAATAATAATAATAATAATAATAATAATAATAATAATAATAATAGTAATGATAATAATAATAATAATAATAGTAATATATAATAATAATAATAATAATAATAATAATAATAATAATAATAATATTAATAATAATAATAATATAATAATAATAATAATAATAGTAATAATAATAATAACTAATAAATAATAATAATAATAATAATAATAATAATAATAATAATAATAATAATAATAAGTAATATAGATAATAATATATATATATAATAATAATAATAATAATAATAATAATAATATAATACTAATAATAAATAATAATAATAATAATAATAATAATAATAATAATAATACTAATAATAATAATAATAATAATAATAATAATAATAATATAATAATAATAATAATAATAATATATAATAATAATAATAATAATAATAATACTAATAATAGTAATGATAATATAATAATAATAATAATAATAATAATAATAATAATAATAATAATAATAATAATAAAGTAATGATAATAATAATAATAATAATAATAATAATAATAATAATAATAATAGTAATGACTAATAATAATAATAATAATATAATAATAATAATAATAATAATAATAATAATAATAATAATAATAATAATAATAATAATAATAATAATAATAATAATAATAATAATAATAATAATAATAATAATAATAATAATAATAATAATAATAATAATAATAATAATAATAACAATAATAATAATAATAATAATAATAATAATAATAATAATAATAATAATAATAATAATAATAATAATAATAATAATAATAATAATAATACATTCAAGATTGTATTTTGAAGAGCATTTGAAATTCTTGAGCGAAAACTATGTACCAAATTTTAGAATATTACCTCTAAAAGTGCAACATTTTGTAATATCTAGCAGGGGCATAGGGAGGCTTCGGTGCAGTCTTGAGTCCCGATGTAGCCAAAGTTTCTCACATTTTAGTGCGTTTTATATGGAAATGAAAATTTTTTTTGCACACCAATCCCTCAACATGGTTTCAACATTTCTATATGGGTTCGATTTTCTAGCACGATTGCCTCAAAGTTATAATGTTCTGAATACGAAATTTCAATATTAACATATTTAAAATTCTAGGCCTTTTAGTAATAAGTTTTAACTAATTTACGTTATGCCCTTTTCAGAATTTAGTACATTGGTACAGAATTATGTGCAGTTCGTCCTTCAAACTTATTTTAGCATCCATAAAAAATACCATCTAAATAACACCTAATGCAGGTCTCAATTTCAAAACTCTTGTTAAAAAAAAAATTATTTTAAAACGATAAATCTTCAACACACAATCATTTTGTAATTAATTCGAATTCAAATGCAAATAATCTCATTACCAAGATAATCAATTGAACTGAATCAATAAGTATTCCATTTAAATGTACATATTTGTCTTCTCTTGCATTACATATTTATGCAATTGTCTCACACACACACACACACACACACTACACTCTCTTGCTCTCTTCGTCATTTCGCATTCATTTTACCACCATATTAACATTGTCACATGTGTTGTGGCAAATGAGCTGGCATTTGTTATAATCAAGTGCGTGTGGGTATGTGTGTGTGGGTGTGCGTGTGGGTGTGCGTGTGGGTGTGCGTGTGGGTGTGCGTGTAAATGTAAATATTTGCAATAATTCCCCAGAGATAGTAGCGTAGCGTAGATGGAACCCATATCCCACATGGGTGGATGTTGGCCCCTGCAGATGGAGATAAAGATGAAGCTTTCTGTTCGGTTTGTTTTTTGCTTTGCCTTGCCTTGAGATTGAGAAGCGTTAAGAATAAATTGATTGTGACAATTTACTTACCATCGACACAAATGATGATAATCAGATTGAGGAGCAGCAAAGAGCTCATGTTGAACACCATTGCTGGCAATGATGATGATGAAGATGATGCGGATGCTGATGTTGATGGGAATGAAGACGATGTTGTTTTGGTTACTCCGGCAGCTGACGTCGTTGTTGTTGTTGCTCCGGCTGAGTATTGCTGGTACTGTTGACAATGTCTTCTGTGTTTCTGTTGCTCTGGATGTTGACGTTGATTTTGATGAGCTTGGGTATTGGAACAGCTGTTTCTCGATGTTGTCGCTGGCAAGAATATTGACTTCATTTTCATTTTTATTCCGTTTATCTGTTTTCCCCCTTTTCTCTCTTCTGCCGAGTTTCGGAGCGGGAGCTGGCCACAGCAATCAAACCAAGACCTCTATCAAATCCAGAAAAAAAAGATATTGCCTTTTGGGGTTTTATATGATTGCGTAGTTGTTGGTTCTACCTCGTCGTCGTCGTCTTCTTCTTGTGCTTTTTGTCTCTCTCTTTCTCTATGTATTTGAGATTTGCAAAAAATCGAAGAAGTTGTGACCGTAAAAAATGTTATAACATTTGTCGTTCAATTTTGCACTTGAATGCAAATAAAATGGACGTTTATAAGCTTCAATTGGCTTTATCGATTATGCTGTTGTTTGTTTTTGTTTTTTGCGATTTGTTTTGTTCGTTTCATTCAGGTTTACTAAGTCGGTCACATAGAAAGCTTATTATTTTTTATTGCCATCAATTTGTTGTATGCCTTTTTTTCTTTTCATAAATAAATTTCTTGTTGCCTGTTTCAGTTCAGATTTCTATTAGAATTTTTCTTTTGTTTTTCCGATTTTCTTCAATTAATTTACATATTTACTTTGTTAATTGGTTTGCGTTTAGTACTCCATTACAGGATTTAGTTAAAGTGGGAAATCGTAGAAATCTGTAATCACAAACTGTGTTACGGGCTTGTGAAGAAAATCGAGTTATTCTTTGGTATCTCAGGTTTCAAGTGTCACTCGGTAGGGAATGTATGCTTGGAAAAATTCTGAAAGAAAATAATATATTAAATTTGGAAATTATTAACTATTTTATTTAAAATCGATTAGTGAAATATTATAGTTTGGTTTAGGTCGTATGATTTATGACAATACGTATACGGCACATAGTCCAACTTTTAGGTATCTTATGACAGAGTAACTCGATGCTATAGCCTTGAGTGTGCTTGTGCATGGTCTACAACGCCAATGAAGAGAAAGAGAACCAGCCCCAGAGCTTTCATCAAAATTGTGAATATTTTAAGAAAATATGTTGCATTCAAAATGCGGATTTTCAAGACAAATTTTTTGACAACGGATTTTTTGGACATTTTTATAGAAGAACGGGACAAAAAGTTTTAGATTTTAAGACAATTTCTGTCGAGGCAATAGCCAGTAAATCGTGGATTGTGAAGAAAACTTTTTTTAGGGTCAACAGTATTGTGTGGTCAACATAGATTTTCTATATTGACAACTTAAAAGGGACTAAAAAAATATCTCAGAAAAATGTTTTTAATAATTTTTACAAACAATAGTTCGTGGATTTTAGAAGCCATTTTTAAGGGCTAGAGGACATTAGTACGTGGATTTCTGAGACATTTTTACAAAAGCAACTGGACAGTAAGTTGTAGATTTTTTTAAACACACTTGTATAGAAGCAACAGTTTAATAACACATGGATTATTGAAACATTTCTTATTACTTCTGAGTTTTCAAGATATTTTTATGGACACAAAAAGGTAAATAAATGTGGATTTTTGTTAACAATTTTTACATAGATAATAGGACAAACCCTTTTTCTATATAATCTTAAAACGACAACAGAGCAATAGGTAGAGGATATCTAAAGATGATTTTTTAACGACCAACTGTTCATCTTTTTACATATACAGGATGGGATAAAAAAACTGCATACTTTCACTTACTTTTTACTTTTTTTTTTTAATTTTATTGAATGAAAGCAAAAAATGTCGCAAATAGCATCAAACTTAAATAAATTTAGATTTGTTCGAATTGGTCACCTATGGCACGAATATTGGCCTTCAAACGGCCAACGGAACCGTCACACGCTACCCGAATGTTGCTCTGCAGAATTTTGGCCCATTCCCGGCGATGCGCTTGCTTGAGGTGATCGACACTTTGGTAGTTTAGTGCCGATCTTGCTTTCCAAAATACTCCAGACACAATAGTGCGGAGATTTTGGTGGCCATTGTGCGCTGGAAATGAAGCGAGGAACCTCAATTTGTAACCATTCTTGGGTGGCACATGCTGAGTGCGATGGTGTCACCACCATCCTGTTGGAATGTCCAACTTCTGCGGCCAAAATGTTTGCGTGCCCAAAGCTTTAATATACCCACCAGAATATTTTCGCGGTGGCCTACACCATCACCATGGCCGGCTCTTGAGTTCTGGTGGCCAATCGAAGGTGCACATTTTCAGCTGATCTCTTTGACTAGCAAACATTTTGTTTATTTACAAACTGCTGGACAACGAATGTTTTCGCATCGGAGAAAACCAAATTCGGCAGTTCACCACTTTCGGCCATGCAAAGCAAAGAAGTAGGTGTTTAAAACTATTTTAAAGTAGTAATGGATCAAAAAAATCGTGATTTTTCCAAGGACTAAAGGACCAAAAAGTGGATTCCTTAAAGAAGTTTTTTCAAGAACTAAAGGACCGCAAAGGTGAATTTCTTAAAGAAGTTTATCCAAGGACTAAAGGACCAACAAAAGTGGATTTCTTAAAGATATTTTTCCAAGGACTGAAGGACCAACAAAAGTGAATTTCTTAAAGACGTTTTTCCAAGGCCTAAAGAACTAAATAAGTGGATTTCTTAAGGGAGTTTTTCCAAAGACTTAAGGACCAAAAAACTGAATTTCATAGTGATTTTTTTCAAAGGACTAAAGGGCCAACAAAAGTGAATTTGTTAATGAAGTTTTTCCAAGCTTTCTTTTTTAGCAAAACTTTATAGAGTAATAAGTGTTGGCGTTCTCTAGAGGCAGCAGGGAAATAAGACAGGGATTTTCGAAGCAAATTTGACAACAAGATTTTATTTTTCAGGACAATTTTATAGGTTTGGATTTTTCAAGTCAATTTTTATAGGAAAAAAAAAACTAGAAAACATTTTAGATTTTCAAGACATTTTTTAATGGAGTATCAAAACAATAAATTGTAGATTTTAAAATAAGAACAGGATGATAACAAACAGTAAATTTCTTAAAATTAATATAATGGATGCAAAATTTAAAAAAATCTGAAAATTTTTATGGTGTCTACAGGACAATGACATTGACAAATTTAAAGAGACAAATAGAAAATGTTTAGGGGATTTTTTAAATTAATTTTTGTAGGGGATTTTAGCAGTGGATTTCTAATGATATGTTTTGTAGTGATACGAAAATAATAAATTGCCCTCACCCTTAAAAATCAATTTTTTAGATGTTCTTAAAAGTCCACTAACGGCCATTGGAACCTATTTCTAAAAAAAAAAAATCATGATGGGTACTTTAATACTTTCCCAATGTATACAGCAAGTACCTGCTATTTGTCAGCAAAAAGTCCATCTTTAAGATTCATTCCAATTGTTCGTATTGTGACTTTTTAGTACTCAAAATATACAATTTGTCCAGTTTGACAAAATTTGTAAATTAAAACTTCATAAATCGTACTAAAATTTCAGACGGTCTTAGATTCCTTCCATTTTCTCTTTTCGGAAAGAAAAATAGGAAAATTTTTACCTTTAACACCAAAAAGTCTTCCAAATCTTAAATTTTTAAGTTAAGGAAGTAGGATCTTAGTAAAACCATTGTATAATGAACCCATATCCAAAGTTTTTGTGTCAAAAACTATTTCAACGTCTCCATATGTAAAACCAAGAAAACAACAGTTACTTCAATGTAAAATTTCAAAATATCAGCTTTATTCCCTCGCCCAATACCAAATTTAGTTGCATTAAGTACGTATACCTAAAACCATCTACATCTCTCAATCCTAGACATTAAAAGTGATCCAAAATTAGTACCATTCAGTACTTTTCGAATTTGCAAAACCACCTTCACATTTCAATTCCAGATAGACCTCAATATCAAATTTCAGGCTATAAGCTCTGTAATTTCCCCCATTACCAAATGTAGTACCCCTATCCAAATCCTGCTCCTACTCTTAACCACAGCCAACAATAGTGACATCCATATCAAAATTTCGGGATTTCAGCTCTATCCTTTCACACTATACAAAATTTAGTACTATTTTATATTTTTCGCATTATTATGGCACACCTTTCCAAAAAAAAAAAATAAATAAATAAATAAATAAAACATCTGCATATCTCAATTGTAAGGGACGTTTTATACAAACAGCCAAAAGATTATTAAATAATTTTTATTACATCTATTATCCACAATCCCCTTACAAAGTGGGCAATATAATTTTTTTACTGAAAATAAAATTATTAAAATAAGATACCAAATCTGGATTGGAAATGCTAGCATTATTAAAAGGCACTTAAAATTAAATATTTAATTTAAATCCTCACATTTTTATTTGGACAAAATCAGTCTCAGTTAGCCATTTAAAATAATATATTTCACAATTGAATTTTACCCAATATAAATCTTTTTTGTTTTGATAATCTTATTCTTCTTATTTCTTATACACGTCTTTCACACACTCGGATTTAGGATAACTCCACAATCGGCCAGAGCTTTGCTTCTAAGTTTTATCCGACATTCCGTACACCTTCCATTCTTTGGTGTCTGAAACCAAACTAAATACTCGATTGTCCACTTTATTTCACATTACTATTCAGTTAATTCATAAAAATTTTGAGAGACATTTCACGCCCAAATTCCACAAATGCGTATTTTCTCTATGTCAGTCTATTCTTCTATCAATATAGTTTTTGTTTTGATTCGCATTGACATTTCATTCATAAATTTCATTTTTCTCTTCATTGATAACCCACTTACTATACTCACCTCAGTAGTATAGTAATGGTTTGAGTCTCCACTAGTAATAAAATTACACTACCGATCACAATTTAATTCACTTCTATTAACTAGAAATACACTCAAAACAATTTTCTGATGTGGTTATTCGTAATCTACAGCTTTATTTTCATCAAAATAATACATTTTGTTTCTTTTAAATGTGGTATATACATCGATTAGACCTTATTCGAAGCTGGCAACATTACCAAAAACGATAACTACAAAACTTTATTCTTCTCTTTGTTGACATTTTTCTGCTGCTAACTTAATAGCTTAAGCCTTTCAAGTATAATAATCTTTCTTTTCTATTAAAATCTTGAACGTGAGCAGACGAAAAATCCTTATAAAAAATCGACATTTATCATTTGCATCCCGTTGTTAAATCAACTTTAAAGTGATAAAATTTTCTTCAAAAAATATATTTCGCGTTGCTCCTACGTGATTTTTGAAAAAAATATTAATTGGCTCTGCGACAACACAACGTGACCTGGCCACTGGAATCAGTATCCTCCCTTTTTTTAAAATATATTGTGGAAACCCTAAATAACTCCAAATTGGTGATTTCTGACGATACAAATAACCAGGCTATAAACGGACCATATTGGCCACAGGGTTATTGGCGTGCCATAAACATCAACAAACCTCTCGTGCACAATTATTCCAATTCCGTAACCCGACTGGCAGACGTCTGCTGAAGATCAAATATAGCTTCATCGTGGATGTTGTGAACAAAAACCCTGCCTTTAACTAAGATCATCGACACATAACATAACATCTGTTGGAACAAGAAACCTTTCTGTAAATAAGCCCATCGAGGTTAACTCTGACAGTAACCAATAAATATATATATTGCCTGAACGTAACCAAACAAGACATATAACGCTATTACGATTTCTTGCTGACTCGAAGTTCTTGTGAAGTTCTGAAAACCCGCTATATCCTAAGATTACGTTTTGGGTGTCTGAAACTATTCCCAATCTGATAGTGGAATTCTGAGGATATTTTGGTTTACATCCTGA